GATGCATATAATTCATATTTCATTTGGCAGACAATAAATATTCAGGAAGATATAATAAAAACGATTATTAATTCTAAAATGTGCATAAAATCTCAACTTTTATTAATCAGTACGGTATGTAGCCTATTACAGATGTTTAAAGTCTTAAAATAATAATTTCGAATTAGGCCTAGTATATAACAAATAATTGTATTAAAGTTTACGTTTTCATGATGTCAGATAACGTATTGAATATGATGCTATATTTTGGGCTCTGACTTAATTTAACGATGGCCCTGTCAGTAGTAGGCCTAATAACAATATTTGTGCTTTTTTAGCCATGTAGTAAAATATTACTATTATTTTCAGTGTACAAAATGAGAGTCAATGAGATGTAGTAGAAGAAGAATAGGAAGAGGAAGAGGAGGAAGAGGAAGAACTTAGCTTTTTTTTTAAATAATAATAATAAATGTGTTGAATATATTGATATTGATTGTGCGATGAGGGTTTTTTTTTATATCTTTCGGTGTTATTTAAACATGCCAATTCTCAGAAAATATTTTCTAATTTTATTATATTACCACCTTTTTATTACATAGATCTTTTTCAAAACATAACTGCTTTAAAACATCATTTATATAGACCCATTAAAAACAAAAACCGCTCTGGCGACCCCACCGTGGCCCTTAGGCAGACCCCTGGACCCCACGCCCAGAGAACCCCCCTTGAGATGACCTGGCTACGGGCCTGCCCTCTCCTAAACACTAAAGAGGGTATGCCTAACTAATACTCCTTAACTACAAAATACTTGTGTAGGTACTCGATAGTCCACACTCCCCCTAGTAAGACTTCCTCAAACCGGCCAAGAGTGTGCGATCTACAACACTTCCCTACACAAACCCTAACTGTCCTATTCTAAATTTCAGTACAATATCAGTGACTCCAAACTCACAATCGGCGATATTGTACAATTAATAGCCTTTAGCTCGCAGCGCCAATATTGTGAAAATAGCTATGTATACTTGGTACTTACCGTTTCGGTACGAGTTTCCCGCGTAGCTATACACAATGGTAATAACACTGTCACTTGTTATATGGTCGAGCTCTGGGGGGGCGGATTTATCAAACTTGCTAAGCAAGAAAATTTGCTTAAATTCGTCTTAAATCCATTTTTTGGCTTAAGTCAGATTTATCAATATTGCTTAGCTTAGAAATTGCTTAAAATTTGCTTAAAAGAGAACTCGCAAAACGATTTTTTGTTTTTGAGGGGATTTTTCATATTTCATTAGAAAATGAATCAATTTTATTATCCTTATTTTGGAATTTTTTATAAAGTTATAGGTAATTTACGAATTCGCCAATGACGTCATTGGCGAATAAAGTAACCCCAGATCGTATTGCCGCTGGCGGCGCTATACATTACTTGCTGTTACTCATCCTGACAAGAGTTGACAACCGCTGATGCATATCAAATGCATATTCAGTAAATCGGCGCGGCCTGCAACATAACCTTCACAAACGAGGTTGCAATGGCCGATCATAGAAGGCCGATGGGTTTTTTATTTGAACCAGAAAAACATAAAGATAGCGTGGAAATCGAAGAAGCACATGAATATGATCAAGAAGTCGATGAGGCCATGGAAAATAGACTGGATAATTTAAACTGGTGCGCTTGCGGCCAATGTCAGCTAATGCCTACAAACGGAGAATGCCTGTGTTGTAGGGAAGAAGATATTTTTACTTCTAAAATGGACGAAAACTCTACTTGTTGTATTTCGAAAACAGAGACATTTAAGAATGCGTGCAAGAATAAGGATATATTAGAAATTATCATGGCAGCATTAAAGGAGGTTGTTGGTGAAGATTTACGTGATCCCATTTCGAATAGGTATGTAACCTTAGAGAGGCTAGGTCTATCTATAGCCTATTAAATAATATAGGCTTATCCACCACTATGCCGAGGACTATTAATATTATTATTGTTACTATTAGGCCTAGCCTAGAGAAAGCATTCCCACCCCCCGCCTTCAAGCGTAGCCGAATCGTTTGTGTCTACAATAGTCGACGGTTGGGTAGGCCTAGAAAATTAACAGAAAGTAAGTTTCGAAAACAAACTTAGCTTTAGTTTAGGCCTGTGACAATCATGCCACCACCATGCATTGTGCAGTCTTGGGTGTAGACGGGATTGCTGTACTGCATGCTTGACTTTGATACCTCACTTTATAGTGATGCGCGGCGCCGCATAGGCAAGGCTGGGCCTAAGCACCCTGGATCTCCTGTATTAGGGCCTGATTTGACACTGGGCACAGCAAAATATCGCCATTTGTAATTTATGTAGCCAAGTACATTCCCAATAAACAATGGCATTAGGTATATGCAATTGAAAATGAGAATAAAATCATTGCAAAACTGGACGCAAAGGGAAAAAAAATAGAAACTGTCCCTCATATATTGTATAACAATTTAATGCCATGGGCATTTTATTATATTATAATACTCGCTTAGTGGAAATTTGCTGCCATATGGGGTGGGGGAGTGTAAACCTCCCTCCATCCCTCCCTACAGTATCCTACAGCCATGATTGATTTATTTTTACCATGTTTAATTTTAATTAATAGGTTGTACAGATATGCTGCTTATAGAAGTTTCACCTGGTGGGTATATGGAAAACTTGGACGAAAACGTAGAAAGGTTATTCCAACATGTGCTGTCCATGCCATCCGACATCAATTTCCAGAGGCAGACCAAAATTATGAAGGGTACCATGATGCTATCAAGAACATTTCACTAAATGAAGACACTTTTTGAATACATCATAAGTTATGTTTGTATATCAACTTGAGTGTGCTAAGGCGATACTTCTTTTATAACTTGTTTTGCAAAATTATTTTTTTAAAGATTGTCCCCACTATGCTCCTGTGACCCCCTTGTATTTTCCTTTTTAAAAAAATCTAAAAATACCTTTATATGTTGAAAGAAAAGAAACAAACTTTCAGCCTAAATTTCCATAACCAAACCCCCTCCTCCCCTTTTCATTACAGAATGACTCATTTGACCTCGTATGGGTTTTATATAGCTATATCTTCTTTAATAATAATGATGAACAGTTGTAATTTGCTACATAGACTGATATTTGGAAATATTAAAATTTGGATAGCATTTTTTAGTAAATTGTTGGATGTCCCATATCAGTCTACTGTAAGTAGTAGTGTGAACTGATTTTTAAAAAAGATGTCCTTCAAAGTATCAGGTCAAAATCAAATCCGATAGAATTCAGTATTTTCTAAACAAGGTATAAAAAGAAAGTCTCGCCTAAGGAACAAATGTTTGTTATAATTCGATGCCTACAGTAAGAGTCTGCACAGATATGTAAGAAAAACATCTACAGCGTTTTTTTAGGCCCTTACTGTATAAAGAACATTCTCAGTACAGTTACTGTACTCGTCTGTTTGATATCTTGTGATTGATTACCAACTGAGTCTAAATTACTCAAGGAAGATTGTACATTAGAAACCCTCATTTACGAACCCCGATTTAACGAATTCCAGATTTTACGAACGTAAAATAAAGGTGATGACGTCATAAAAATTTATCTGCAAGATTAAAAAAAAATCTGCTCGAATTGTAACTGTTACTAGCATGCATACAACAACACACCATACTATACTATACAGTACTATGTAATTCTCACGTGAAGGAGGCCCTCTAACTGGCCTTTTCAAAGTCAGTGTTTTTTATGGCTTCACACATGTGCATGCAAAACATTTTACTTCTCTTTCAAACATCGTTTTCAGCTTTAAAATTTAACATTGTGCTTGATTGTTTTATTGAATGATCAATATATATAATAAACAAATATCTATGGAAGTTGTGTTGGGAGTAAAATCCACAATCTAGGTATTTAAGAAGGTAAAAATGTCCCAGTATAGTACCAGTGGAAATACATAGGAATTTGGGTCAACCCCGATTTTACGAATACCCACATTTACGAACGGCTCTGGGCCCGTGCCGTACATACATGAGGGGTTCTACCTGGCATTATTAATATAATATTATTATTAATAATAATAATAACAATAATAATAACTATATCTATATAGCGCCTGATCACAGATCACATAGGCGCTTTACATAAATTTTAATCTATTCATTTTTTCCAAGTCTGCTAATAAGACCTTCAATAGCTTCTGTTTTGAATGGTTTTTCGCCCCTTCCAGTTGAGTTTCTTGCCAAAACTGGGATTTTGATTGCTGATTGTTCTGTTTCTGATCCTGGAAGGTAATAAAATCAGAATTATATAAAATATTAAAATCATTTTCAGCTACCTGTTCATATTCACATAGATGTTCGTAATTGTATGTTACATTTTTATTGAGGCTTACTTGGCCACTGCAACTTACCACTTTTATGCATGTCCAAAGTAGCATTCAACAGGTCTGTCCGAAATGTAAATTCCTTTGGATCATTGATTTTTTTAACTACAAATTGATGACTTGCTTTGGACCATTGTAATTTCCACCTTTTTTCGCCACTAATAGTGGTTGCCTGTTTGCGGCCTACATTTGTGTTGTTATCCAATGCTGCTAAAAGTGTCCTGGCAACTGTACCCTCGTAACGAAAAGCAATTCTTTTTGGAACATTTTTCAGAAGGACGTTGTGAAATACCTCCAAGTCACCGGTGTGACAATAGACTTGATAATTTTCCCAGCACTTTCACAATACTATAATAAAAATAAAACTATAATAATGTCACTTGTATCAATTACATTTTGTTATTTAGTTTTGTAAGATAACAAAGACCAGAAGACTGGTCGAAATTTTTAAAAAATAAATAAATAAGTGTTATATATTTTACTTGACTCGTCGTATTTTCTTGTTTCAAAACCTATTATAATTTCAATAAAACACGTAGATTTCAATATAAACTATAAGGAAAGACAGGTTTACCTTAAGTTCAATTGCATCTCCATTACATGAGTCAGAACACCACCAAAAATGATTTCCAATAGACTTTATCCATGGTTGTAGCTCGGCACACTCCCTTCTTTTGGCTGCTGCTGCAAGTTTCTTCTTTATTGACTTAGACATGTGCCAGACATCATATTGATGGGAGATTGTTGAATATTCATCCTTCATCAATTTCGAAATCTGAGGATGCCTGTCTGTAGCTAGTGTTGTTACTGTAACATGTGCTTCCTAAAACAAAATTTAAAAACTTAAAGGGTTATGAATACTGTAAACATATTCATATTGAAATGCATTTGAAATAATGTACATAAATATATCTTACTTCCAGCTGATTAAGGCATCGTATCAAACCCTCTTTTTCCATTGAGTACGAGTTATTTACTTCGGTAACCTTGACAACAGCTGAATGGCCAGGACTATCAGACCGTCCGTCCCCTGCCACAATCAGATCTGTGTTGCCTTCATATTCTGGAAGAATAATGTTATAATTAGCACAAGAGGTTAAAAGGTAATAAAGTAGACCTGAAGCAAAGTGTAAACATCATAACACCTATTAATTATATTACAAAATTGCATTTATATTATACCTGATAGCAGCTGTTGCTGTTGGCTGTTCCACATGGAATTGACAACTGGAAGTAAATACTTTCGTTGTATATAATAAAAATCGTTTTCACTGAAAAATTTTAATTTGAAGGTGTCAAAAATTTCTGCAGCAGTGGTGTATGTGTTTCCTGAATATAAAATTGATGCTGCAAGTAACAGGTTGCCAATAGCCATCTTGTTAGAAAGTGGCTGGGACCTCCATTCAAAGTGGTGATTATGCAAGCACGTTCCATTTACAATTACCAAACTTCCTTTGTGGCGATAGTCAAGTTCAACCACAGGTGCAGCACACTGATTATCACCAAGACACTTGTTAAACAGTTGTTTTAACTGACTATTAAACACGACATACTTCATCTCGCTCACAAAGTTTACATTATGTTCTTCAATAAATTCATCTTCAGATTCTTCATTGTCTGTGTCAGCATCACTTGGATGAAATGATATATCATTATCAGTAGTAGGAAATGGAGAGTTTCCGGCCAATGCATTTCAGTTATCGTTGTAAACGACCATGGCCGGGAAATTCTCCTATTCTAATACACTAATAATGCTATATTCATTTACAAAATGACGTCACGCGACCATGGCCGGGAAATTCTCCTATTCTAATACACTAATAATGCTATATTCATTTACAAAATGACGTCACGCGACCATGGCCGGGAAATTCTCCTATTCTAATACACTAATAATGCTATTTTCATTTTAAAAATGACGTCACGCGACCATGGCCGGGAAATTCTCAATATAATACATCATTTTGCAAAACGACCTATCAAATGACGTCATTAAATATCATTTGACCCCGATGACGTAATCAAAACTCTTTTCAGTCACGTGACCCGATGACGTCATCAAAACACTTTTCAGCAATCAGTCACGATATCTAATCTCGTTTCCCACTTGCAGCCTCTTGGGCCAATCTCGTTTTTAGCGAATCGATCACACTCTTACCCTTGACTATGGCATCTTGCTTCATCTCTTGATACTTGCGATATTCCTCGAGGACCAGTTTAAACTCTTGATCGCTAATTACGTTATCCTCCAATGCGGCGGAAACGATGCTATCGATCGTACCCAGTTTAGTCTTGCAAATTGTCTGCACGGTTTTGTGTTTTTCGCTCTTTTTCTCGAGCAACTTGCTCAGATATTTTCCGCCGTAATTTAACCCGCAGCATACGGCCGCCAACGAACCGAGTCCGATGGACAAGGGACCCATCACGACCGTACTCGCAACGCCGACCGCACCTGCGGCGGAAACGATAGACAGGGTATTCAGACCGGTATCGATCCAGTCTACGATACTCTGAGTCTTTTTATATTTTTGTACATTTTCCCCCGTCCAACCTCGTCGTTTTTAATGTCATCCAGCATCTCGCTAATCTTGCTCAATCTAAATTTTTCCGCCTCGAGCGGTACCGGTTTTACCGCCGGCGACGGGGTCGCTACGTCTGCAGCTATTTCGACCATTTTTTAATTACGCCACCTTTTTAATTACAATCTCGATCGTAATGTTTCCACCTCTATTATCTACGAGTTTGTTTTGATCGTCCGTCACTTTAAACGTAAGCCCTTGAATCATTCCCATTTGGAGAGGTTTAAAAGTTAGAATTTTTCGAGTAGAGGGCTCAACTTCTCCGAGTCGCTTATCTAGAACGTTAAGAGTATCGAGAATGAAGGATGCGCGCCCATTAAAAAGAGTGCATTTGCTCGATAGTTCTTGGAGGTGAACGTGCATCCTATACGGGATGTTACGGCAATACGACGTACCGATGTAATCTTGTCTCCTCTTGAAATGAGCAGTTTCCAGTTTGAAGAATGCTGCCAGCTCCAGACCGAAATATATTAAAAATTTTTCGTTGGACCCCTCTGGTGATTTAAATTTTAACCTTACTTTACCGGTGCTTCTATCAAACTGCATATGAGCAATGTACGGTTTTAGAGCATCGTTATTTTTTAAAATGTTTATCATTTCTATGCACGTATAAAACCCCGGAGTAATCGTTAATAGCACCTGTCCTTGTTCGTAAATTTCTTTGCCTTCACGCTCTATGATGTCATATTTTACAACGTCTATATCTTTTTTCACGTTGAAATATCCAACCGTTCTGGTTATGCTTTTTAAAGCAATTTGCATATTCCCATCTCGGTTATCCAACGGATACTCGAATCGGTTTAACACACCATTTTTGACGTTTGTATTGATACAATGCATTTTATCTATGACGTATATTATAAAATGGAGTTTCAGTACACAAACGCGAGATACAATCCGAGTACCAAGTATTCGATCGTCGATAAAATTACCAATCTCAACAAGCATCAGATTGCCGTGTCGGATACCAGCGAGTTTGAAGTGGTTTTTCCCAACATTTTTGCCAACTACCTAATCAGGATCACGCCCGACCAGGTAAAATCCAGGTGGGGTGACATTTCTAGCGATCGAACCCGAGGGTTCTGGCAGCAAAAACTCGATATAGCCTGGAGGGAAAAGACTATGGGCTTCTTTCAGAACCAGCTAAATTTCGCCCTCTGGTGCGCTACGACGGGTTGCGGAGTTTCCTACGGGGATCACATCAAGAACGAGGGTCCGTACCTCAGACGCAAGTTTTACAAGTTTCACGTCTATTACGCAACCAGACGAATTTTACAAGAAATGTCTTGCCCGATTCCGACCGACAGATACTTTGATCCGTACGAAAACAACATTGACATGACGGCTTACGAAAGAATCTGCAACGAATTCCAAGTTCCGACAAACACCAACTGGCACGTTGCAAGATCCCACTCGTCCGGCGGAGACTATGGATACGGAAACATGGTCAATCACACGGTTAGAGGTCGAGTCACGGTTGACTATTATCAACAGACCGGCGTCTCTTACAAGGCTTTTATATTGGATAAATCGCGAGGTTTCACCCAGGCCGGAGTGACGCGACTCAACGATTCGGTTCGAACCTACGTGTGGGCCATCCTCGGTGCTCAGGCGACGACGCGTACGTCGATTCTCGCTCGGGGAACGGGGCTCGACGCCCAAAAGCAGTTTTTGGTCAACGTCGAGGATGCGATAAACAGTCCGGTAGACATTCCAGACTCGATAGCGAGGTATCAAGACGTCTTGCGATTTGCGAGATCTCTAGTCAACTATGTCCTCGGATACAATCTCTACATGTGTCCGGCCGATATGGAACTGAGAATCACCACGACGACCGACTACAACAATAAAATCTTAATTGCAGAGCGAAATTTGCAACAATTAGGATTAAACGACATAAACGAACCCGAATCAAAACCCGTCGAACCGCTAGCGTTTCCCGCCAAACCGACGCCGACCCCTGCGCCTGCGACCCCTGCACCTGCGACCCCGACCCCGACACCTGCGACTCCGACGCCGACTCCGACGCCGACTCTGACCGCTGCGCCTATCCCGACTACGACGCTCAAGCCGTCCCCGACCGCGTCGCCTGAGACGCCTACGGCGCCTACGATTCCGACGCCGGCCGCCGCTCCAACCGTTCTCGGCAAGACTCCAACACTCGCAGAGCCTCCAAAGCTCTCCGAGCACGAATCCGCTAAAGTTTCGATGGTGATTGGTTTCGCAGTCGTTACTTTTTTCGTCTACGAGCTGACGAGGGTTTGGAGCTAGTCTTCACGTTCGTCGCCAGATAATTGTAAGCGATTCCGGCAACGGCCAGAATCAGCAACCAGACCCGGTCGGCTATAAAGCCAACGACGCTACCGGCTGTTTTTAGCAGAAAGCTTACAACAGCTCCGATAATTCCGGGTAACGCCAAAAAAGCCTTATCACCGAGCTTTTTCAGGATTTCGGCAAAGTTTTTCAGGTGTTTTTTAATCCATCCATCAGGTTTCCCAGGATCCGGTGTCGGGTTAGGAGTCGGGTCAGGGTCAGGGCCTGGAGGAGGAGGAGGAGGAGGAGGAGGAGACGTCGAGTTTCCACCGGTAAATATCGCAACCAACGACGCAATGATCGAACCTAAAGCCGTGATGATACTAGCGATAGTTATCCCTTGTTCGCGAAACAAAATCCTTAATCTCGAACTCAGTCGTAAATCGCCACCCAACATTCTACCGATGGTACCTTGTATCGCCCTGACTTGATTCTTTGCCCTACCCGTATTAGTTTCTACAATTTGCAATATACCATCCCTTTCTATTTGCAAGTCTCGTATACGAACATCGATTTGTTTCAGCTCTTCAGACGTTGAGCCTCGTTTATTCATCTCCCGCCATTCTCGTTTAAACCCCGCTATTTTAACGTCAATCTTTCTGAGGTTTGACAGAGAAAGCGCGAGTTGCTCTCTGACCGTAGTCATTGCATTCATAATACCCTCGATTTCTCTAGCTTGGATATCTGTTTGAACACCTTGACTCGTAGTAGGTTGAGGCAATGTCTCGTCCCCATCGACACGACTCGTAGTAAACGATGTCTCGTCTAGATCGGTACGACTCGTAGTAATCGATGTCTCGGATACTTGGTCTACGATATCGTCCAACACCTTAGTCGTTTCTGTCGGAGTTAAATCTGGTAATGGAATCTCTTCCACTTGATAGTATACGTTTTTAAGAGCTTGCTTCGACTCGTCAGCTCGACTACCCGTAGTATAATCCCCGGCAATGTATTTTTTTTATTTCTGCGGCGCTTATTCTAGTCGTCGAGAGTTGACGGAAACTTGTTGCGTCATTTAAGAAGGTTAACGATATTTCTTTGTCGTTCTTATTTATAAAAACCAATTCGTCTTGGCCCAATGCGTTTTTATTAACTCTAAATCTAGATTTGTCGGTCAGTATAACGTCTTTATATCCTCCTCCTCCTCCTTCTTTTTTAGATTTCTTAAGAAAATCCCTGTACGATTCCAGCTCCATGTCTAGTCTAGCACGATAGGCTTGTTCTCTGTTAAGAGACTCTGTGACTCGTTCTCTATCGACGGTTCCGAAACTTGGAAGTTCCAAATAGGCATCCGGTTCTCTATCCCCGTCAAACTCGAAATCATCGTCAGCGTTTACGCGACCTTCGGTAAAATCGTGTGTGGGTACAAATTCTGCCATTTTATTATAGAGCGCAAACAATTAACGGATTAAAAAAAGTTGCCGTATAAAAAATGTATCACGAAATAAGCGCCAATAGATCGGTCAAGACCAAAAATACCGACCACAGAAACGACAGGCGTGTCTTTACCACGGTCATGAACCAGATAAACGAAGCCGGTCCCGGCGATGTTTTGCGAGTTAGGTTTCCAGATCTCGGCGACGCCGACGCTATAGTTCCGGGTACGGCTCGACTCGCCTTTAATCTAGTTTTAACCTCGAGCACGGACGTGGATCGAACGATCGTCAACAATATCGGTAGATCGCTCGTCGAGAAAATACGTATAACTCTGGAAGGAAAGGAAGTTTTTACCCTCGTCGATTATGACGTGTACA